TGAAGAAAAACTTATATTAAAGTTTTTCTTCATTACCCATTCAAGCCGTCTCCAGCCATTATTAGTCTCAAAGTGGGTTCCTCGTCATCGAAAATGAAAAGGAAGTTATTGCATCTTAGTTCTTTATGTGTGGAAAGTTGAACACTTGTTAAATTAAGTTTATTTACAGTGGAATATTTGATAATTTCTAATATTTTACCAAAATTACACAAGTTATTATTATAATTGGCATCTTATAGAAAAAAAATGCACTTAAAGTTCTCTAACAGAATACATATGTTACTGAAAATTATGGTTTTGAACTTTTTCTGTGTGTGACAAGAAGCATTTTAATACACTCTGTGACTACTGGATTTGCTGTAGAAAATGGTATTATATGTTTTAAAAATTGATAATTGTTTTTGTTCGTTTTTTTTATTTAAGGGAACCCTTCTATTGGGAAGGATGTATTCACCATTGAAGTAGTACCAGAATTACAACACTTCTCACAGGCTATCCTCCTGCCTCATCTTGGTACTGAGTTCTTCAAGTGTCCCCAAGAGGAGTCTGTTACTGTTGCATCACTGTTTGTTGACTCCACATTTAATGATCTTAGTCCTTCAGAGCGAATAGATGTTATTTCCAAGTTAGCTTCATTTGCAGGAGTATCAGGAGATCTTATAAAAACAAGTCTTTTAATGTCTGAGTGGAAGGTACATGACAACTCTGCCATATTAGCTGGACCAGGAACTGTGAAAAAAAGAGGAAAGACAGGAGTGGTCTTCCAGTGGCAAGTAGGGTGTTCTGGTCAAATCAAGCCCTCACATACTAATAAGATATCAGAGTTGGGATGGTTGGCTGAAAATGGATCCTTAGAAAATCTGCTTGGCTATGCAATTATTGGCTGGAATGTGGTTAATCAGCAGCCATTGCTGCTCCACAGAGAGAAGAGAGAAATGAATGTGAGAGGAACTCCTGTCCCAGAAGTACCAATTCCTAGCAAATGGCCAACCTTTTCAGAAATGGATGGTCCAGAAGAGCCCTCAGAGGAGACAGAAATCCCTGAGTCACGAGTGATTCCTACAATGGCATCTCCATCTTTCACAGTACCATCTCATAGACATAGGCATCACCATGGTGAAGAATTCATGAAGGTAGAAGATGGACATTATAGTGGTAGTGTTGAGATAACTCCCTCCCCAACTTATCACTACCACCATCTGCCCTCAAGTAGATTTGACTCTCCAATGATGACACCTGTTTTTCAACCAGAAAGACCATCAATTTATATTTCTTCATCTGTCATTGAAGAGTTGCAGCCAAGCAGAAGCCAACTGGAAGAAAAGACCCATCTAGACATCTTCTCTTCATCTTTAGTCATGTCGGAGACAGAAGCCCTGCCAAAGCCATCAAGAACTTTTGTTGTGTCATCAGTAGTTGTAACTTCTGCCATCCAGCCCACCAAAAGCTATGCACCTGAAGAACCAACAAAAAAACCAGTTGTTCCTGTTAATTATAAGCCATCACTTCAAAACCCTATGAAGAATTTGAAGGTCTATGCTGGTCAGGTATGGAGCTTCAAGATACCTGAAGACACTTTTTCAGATAATGAAGATGGGAACACAAGAAATCTAAAACTAATATTCATGACAAGAAATAGAACAGTTTTATCACCATCATTGTGGATCCAGTTTGATCCAGAAAAACAAAAACTGTATGCTCTTCCTCTTGTAGGGGACATTGGTAAACATTATTTTACTTTGGAAGCCATGGATAGTCATGAGATGTCTACTTTTGACCATTTCCAGATTGAAGTGTTGGAAAATCCATCACAACATGGTCTTAATTATGAATTTACAATGACTTTGAAGTATAAGAAATGGAAATACCCTACTAGCATCGATTGGCAAATAGAACTGGTTCAGAAGCTTGCCCAATTCTTTGGTGATGATGATACTTCTTATGTTTCTGTCCAATCTGTGGCACAAGAGCCTACTTCTCTGACTTGGACAAACTTTTCCTTACCTAATTATCCTTGTCCACAGGAAGCTATTCATGAGTTAATGAGGAAACTTGTTGCAAATGATAGGAGCCATCCAACAAGACCTCTAAAGAAAGCAATGAAGCCAGAATTTAATGTGCAAAAGGTTCATGTCAACTTCCGTGGAACTTGCCATGTACCACCGAGTCTCGTTCCTGTTAATAATTCTCCTGAGTTACAAAATCCACTTGAGAACATTAAAATACAAGTTGGAGAAATACTTCAGTTTAAAATTCCAGAAGATACCTTCTTTGATATTGAAGATGGTAACACTACTTACCTTAAATTAATGTTTTTAACATCTGACAACAAAGAACCTCCAAATTCTTCTTGGATTCAGTTTAACCCAGAAACTCAAAATATATTTGGCCTTCCATTTGAAGAAGACCTTGGGAGTCATATATATCAACTTGTTGCAGTTGATAGGGAAGGAAAAGAGGTCAGTGATGATTTTTTTATAACTGTTAACTTGCCAATTCCGAAAGACAACAGTGTTAAATTTAGTATTCACATTAATATGGACTATGAGCAATTTAACCAAGATATCACTCAAAAGATACTTGTTGCTCATAAATTAGCTCGTGTATTTGGCGATTCTGACCCAAGAAACCTAACAGTTTTATCAATTACTAATGGCTCAGTAGTATATTCCTGGACCAACAATACTCTTCCATCAGAACCCTGCCCAGAAGATATAATACTTGAACTTACCAAACACATGATTGAGGAAAACAATACAATCTCCAAAACATTCATTGAGGAAATGAGCCCAGAATTTAAAATTGATCAGGTTAACATGCACCCACAGTATGCATGTGAAGGCATTTTTAGCCCTGTCTCTGTAAGTGTTGGGCTTAAACCACCCATTGAAGAGTCAGCAGTTCCAGATGATGATGATATTTATATTACTACTATTATCCCTGCTGTTGTCATTGTGGTCATGCTTATCATTGCAGCTATGGTTGCTTGCTTTTTGTACCGCCGGAGGCGTAAAGGAAAAATGAAGATGCAGGATAGTAGTTCTTTCATGAGTAAAGGCATACCCATTATTTTTGCAGATGAGCTTGATGAAAAGCCAAAACCTGCCAAATCTCCTGCCATTATGAAAGAAGAAAAGCCACCTTTATCCAGTCCCGAAAATGGGAAGTCTGCAGAGGAAGCTGCTCAACACATTCCTCTTCTTCCTAAAAACTCAGAAGCTAGTCCTGATGCAGGATCCTCCCCACCATACCACCCACCTCCTCCCTTCACAACAAATAGAGACAATAAAAACACCCGACCAAAAACCACACCAACTTACAGGCAACCTCCACCGTATGTTCCTCCATAATATTTGCTTGTAGTCATGTGCCTTATGCCCATCACTGTGGCAGGAAGGTCAATTGTGAACTACAACAGATTTGAAGTGCCAGAACTTCCAGTTGTCTTCCACACTACAGTGGTACATCTGTTTCTGTGTTATAGTGTATGTCATGATTAAGCTTAGCTCATATTTCTTGTAATCCTGAAATCTAAGACCTTTCAATGCTGTCACTAACTCTGAATACAAGTTGGTCATTTCTAGCAGTCTGTTGTGCAAGATTTACTGTACTGTGTTCATTGCTTCTTCTGATTAGAGTGAAAGAGTAGATCACTAGGTTGAAACACTATGAAAAAATGTAGCTAGCCTGTCTTAGGAGAAGCTATAACTCATCAAAGTAGAAGATATGTTTACTGCAGTTTGTCAATGCATACTCGACAATGTTTTTGTGTAAGTGTTGACTATGGTTCACTGTCATTTTAGTTATTAATTTACTGTCTCACCAAGTGAAAAAGATTAGTGCATAGATCACACTAAAACTTGTCTTTCTTTGCTAGTGGGCTCTGCAGTAATTTTTATTTTCATTGTGTTACTAATAACATTTATCAAATACTTAACATGTTTTGTTGATTACTTATGAAAGTTATTGATCAGGTAATGTAAAAAACAACAACATCTAAATGATTTAAGAACTGTAGTTCAGAAGTATATTTGATCAGAATTTTGACTAAAACTAACCTTCATCAGTTTGTTTTGTTTTTAAATCCATTTTAATACTTTGCAACTTTAAATGTGTGGTAATGATAAGAAAACAGTATATGTTAATGTTATTTGTAATATTTTAGTTTGACTAATGAACAGCTAACTAGCTGTGGTATTGCTTTTATCTAAAACAATAAAGTTATAAAATGAATCTTGTAACCATTTTTGTTGTAACTATCCAATCTTGTAACTACTACTTGGTTATTTGGAGTTGATCTCAAAGTTTTCAGACAGGTAAGCAACTGAGAAGTGGTTATAATGTTGATATTTTTTGTGATTGTGGAAAACGAAAATGTTTTACTTTGAGAAAATGCTTACTTGTGCTGCATGTCATTGAATAACTTGGGATAACATTTATTTAGGATTGTATTATGAACTTCAGATTTTGCTAAGATCTCTCAGTGAAATGTTACTGATCAGTCATGCAGGCATCTTTTAATCCCCTGTTTATTTTCCACAATTCTTAGCATCTCAGAGACTCAAGAATAACAGTTTAATGTCGACTAGTATTTATTTAAAGTGACCAGTGTCAAGAATATTGTCATACAGCGGGTTGTACTTGATTGAAGTATAGTTTTTTTCATTCTCAAAACGCAAACATGCAGCACAAAATTTACTAGTGTTCTGATGGTTTGATACAGTGAGATCAAGTTAGCAAGCTGTTTCCACTCTGCTTTTTTGATTTTAATCACATGTTAAATTTGAAGTTTGTCCATTTAATATGAATTGCAAATTAAATTTAATAGAAAAATCCCATTCCAATAACTCGCATCAATTATGAATATGGCCCTCTTTTATTTTCTTTCTCCACCATCTGACTTTCCATGGGGAATAAATTGGATAGTCCTAATTTAATATGTAAAATAGCAGTTGATTTTTTTTGTAGATATGGAAAAAATTGCTTAAGATACTTATCAATTTTGTGTTCTTGTTTGAAAATAATAAAAATTTACAATGAAAGGAAGTGAAATCTTTTTACCTGAGGTACTAAATTTTGATTTTAAAAAATGTACTTATCAAAATATAATCTTCATTTAAGAAAAAATATTTATTACAACTTCAAAATATTTTGAGTATTTTGTAAAGATAGCTCTTTCATGTGTTTAACATAATATTTTTCATTTAGCTCTGAATTTCAGTGACTGATATTTACATAGAACTGTAAAATGAAAGTGAATTGAAATAATTCTTAAATGAAACATTTAACTGTTTTAGATACTTGAAGTGTATTCATACTTCAGGATGAGTTCAGTGGTGTATGTTGTCTGGTGTTTTAAAGACTGGGCAGTCTGTAAATTTAAATTATTTGTTTATAGTTATAAAGTTTTTCAAAGATAAAAAAAATTCTAAAATCCAAAAATTAATTACAGGTGGTTTCAAATCAAAGTTTAATGCAAGTTAATAGTCTAGTACAATGAAGTCACCCAGCGGGTCAGCAGTAAATTTACTGACTGACAGCACTGAAATCTGGAATTTGATTCCCTCAGATTGGTCAAAGCACAGATTTCCCACTGTGTAGCTTTGTTCTAAAAAAAACGTTTAATGAAATATTAGATGTCACTATTTTTACCATTGTTCCTTAATGCTATGTTTGCAAGCAGAAGAAGTGACTTTTTTTTTTTACCTCACTAAATGTGGCAAGCTATTTTAATTATATGTAAAGGTGCTTTTCTCAAATTCTTCTAATGTTTTACTGAAATCATATAGCCAAATACTGTGCATTTAGAATAGTATTCATAGTAATCATTAAAAAGTTAATCTCAAAATGAGAATTTTATATGGTGCTACACTAAATGATTGTCTTGGTACCATGCCTTTACCAGGTTCTTCCAGATAAAGTTGCTGCCTTACTATTTATAGTAACAAGAAAGGAAAAGTTATTTTTTTAAATATAAAAAATGCGAAATATAATTGATGATACATTTTATTATGAAATATTGTAAGAATATGGCACTTCAATAAAAATCCACTGTTGGAAGTGCTTGAAAAACCATTTTTAGGAATAGTTTTTCTAATTCTAAATTTGTGTAAAAGGACTTTCATATTAGAGCAGAAGATATTTAAATACAAATCTGACTTACAAAATTAACATATTACTATTGCTAGAGAATTACTATAGTTTAGTGGATAAATATCTGTACACTTTTATGTTTGAAGAAGGATTATGAATTTGTTTAGACAAGATACAAAAGATTTGTGTTTCTAAATAGTTTTAATAGCATGGTTACTATCAAAAAGTGGTAAATGACACAGAAATCTATAATGGAGAATAATTTAAATGCAATACTATTTTAAATACTTCAAGTAGGACATCCATTGTCTTTGAATTACTTAATGATATAACAGTTCAATTCATAAACGGCAGCTTTATAAGGTTATTTTTAAGTTGTTTTTTTTTCTTTTTAAAAATTATTTATATGAAGCAAGAGATTATAACAGGTGCCTGCCAGGTAGCTCAGTGACAAGCTTGGTTTTATAATAGAGATAGCTCATTGTGCAGCTTTATGCTTAACAAATCAACCCTAGTAGACATTATCACAGTTTAGAAATAATTACATTGGTATTGGACTAATAATGTAAAAATATGATTTGTTTGAGCTTGCATAACTTTTGCTGTAATGGTATCATAAGTCTTCTTTTTAAAACCACCTTAAAAAGTAAAGTGATGCATGTTTATTTCATAATTACATTGGTATTGGACTAATAATGTAAAAATATGATTTGTTTGAGCTTGCATAACTTTTGCTGTAATGGTATCAATAAGTCTTCTTTTTAAAACCACCTTAAAAAGTAAAGTGATGCATGTTTATTTCATAGTGTAAAAGACTAAAGCCAAGGTGGAAGAAGAATTAACTAAAGTACTGAATATTTTACAAGTGATTGATTTTAAGGTAGAATTGATATCTTATTTAACTATGCTCTTGTAATAATTTTCTGTGGTTAATGCAAATAAACCTCAAGAAAGAAATATCAGAGAGTTCTTTTTTTCCAGAAAATCCCTAATGATGACATCCTTCCATAATTGTAGTGACAAAACAAACTGATTAAGTTGCATGGGTACATTATGATCAAATCAGATGGGATTTCAATAGAAATGTCGTAGGTCTTAGAATGTAATTCAATAATAGATGGATTTTGTATAAGTGACAGAAACCTTTACACTATCAAATAAAAAGTATACATTTAGATGTTTAAACAACAAATTCAAGAAAAATTATAAAAAAACAAAATATGTCCTGTGAAAAGCAATTGAAGAACACAAACTTCTTTTGGTGGAGGGTGTATGTAATCAATACGTTAAGATGTTGATCTATGACAGATTCTCCACCACAAAGTTAAGTATGAGTAAGTAGCTACTTTTAGCTGTAAATGTACGTTTGCCCCTTTATGAAACTGAACTAACAGGTGAATATTAGATCTTCAAAACGGGAGATTTTGCACTTGGAAAGTAAAATGTAAATAAGATTCAGCTGTAAATGAAAAGACTGATCACGAAGCCAAATCTGAGAAAGACCAGCTTCACTAAAACATTGTTCAGTCCTAAATTTTATCATGATTCCATGTAATCCACATAATCAGGCAAGGTTCATTTACAAAAAAACTTAAACCGCAGTATCCAACTTTTTTATACTCGGGCATGACCAAAGTATGCCATACGTATTGTTGAGACATGCTGTACGTGTCATCTAAAAAGTAAGCCACACACCAAGACAACAAAATTCCAAATTTATTACAGTGTACATCTACGAATGTGACTGGATGATCCAAAGGACGAGGCTAGTGTAATTCAAAGTTAAGAACGTCTTGATTTGTCCAGAACTTGCACTGAAATGTTGGATTTATTTTTTTAAATATAAATCAAACTATATTTGTGTTTTAAGTTATGGAGCTGCTTAGTCATGATAAAGACGTGCCACACTACCTCTTCCTGTTAGCTTCTGGTTATCCTTGACCATCCTTATATTTAAAGTTCACTCCAAATATTGATTCATTACTTGAAAGTAACGTCACTTAAAATACTTATTTAACCATCATATAAAATTACAAATAAAGTTTTATGTAAAAGGATAACTGAAACAATATAAAACTGTAGAGTACTGCCAAAAACCCTTCAATAACACCCTTTAAAATTACAGAGAAAAGTACCATATATAAATTACATGAAACAAAATAGCTGACAATTTGAAATTATAAAACAACTATTCAAGTAACGTCATAATACTTAAGTGTCTGAGCTGTGTTGAAGAAATAGTTTTTTGTTTTTTTTAAGTAAAACTATATAATTCATGAATGAAATAAGGATTCGTATAATGTAAATCACTAAAAACAAATTCGGCTGTTTCGAGCAAAGGGTAATTAAAATTACAACAAGTACAGTTGTGCATTAAGTTACACCGTGACTGAAGTCAAATCAATGAACTGTGTGTGTGGGGGGGGGGGTGGATTAAGTA